CTAATATTAATCCTTGTTTGATTGCAGTAGATGATGAAACATTTTTAATTTATAATCATTTTAGTCAATCAAGTACACAAAGCTTTCTTTTAAATATTTTAGTCAATAAAGATAATTTCATATAATAATTTTAAAGTGTGTTCGGAAAATCGATTCGCATTAATATGATTTGTCATTTAATTTGGCGGTCACATACAATAGAGTTTTCCCGGTCCTACTTTGATATATTTTTCGTAAGGGGGTGGTGCATCGCATACCCCGAATACCATTGGATTTATTCCCAGGAATATATATTACCCTCTTATTCTTTGATCAAATAATAAAGGATTCAACCCCAAAATCTATCTGGGTATGCCAATTCATTCACTGAATATCCTCTTTCAATTTATTATATTTGGTCAATGTCAATCAATCTCAATGAAAAATCAACCAAATACTCGCTGAATATTTAATAAATATTATTCAGTGTTGAAATTACAGTTACATGTTGTATTTAACATGATTGACTTTATATAACAATCTCTATGTCAATATTAATATTAATGTTAACTGTCAATATTGGATGCATAAAAAATTTTTAAATAACTATTAGAAATTTTTGGCATGCATGTTGATATTTAGATAAGATATGCCCTTGCTCATTCGGGGAGAAGGAAACGTGCATTATATATTTATTTTATATAACTGACAAGTATCAATAGATTATGCGATTGCGATTTGTAAATATGTAGAGAAAAGAAGGAATGAATTGAAACAATGATGATTCGATAAATTTTGATAAAAAAATCTTACTGCGTCGAAGACCCTTGAAACCATTTTCGTATTCAACTCAATAATAATTGATTATGATAATTATAATGATAATAACAACAATAACAATGATCAAAATAAATTAAATTATACAGTGTGAGACAACCATCGTGGAACAACCACTGCATCCATTCATATGAAAATATATAACTCATTCGATAGGTTAAGAGCAGAAATTTCTATTGAATATAAACCAACTGTTTGATTTTTTGAGCAAATTAAACTAATTAAAAATAAATCAAGAATTAGATCTCTTTTTTTTATTATTAATAAATTGTTCCAGACCTTGACTTTTTATTTCATTATTTGACAACTGGCTACCAGTAGATAAATTGTAGTATACCACATGATTTCAACCTCTAATCCGCTTTTTCCAACTATTTTCGTTCAACTTATTAATATTGAATAGATATTTGTGAATAGAATGTTAGTAATATGATGCGTTTGTCGTGTAATGTAGATTATTCTATTAATGAATGTAATTGCAAAAAAAAAAAAGTAAAATTCAACCCTGTTTTGCATTTTTAAAATTAGGAAAATGATTTAAAATAACTTTAAAAAGCAAAGCTTTGTTTAAATTTATTTAAAATGAGTCGGATTTTTTTTTAGTAAAGCCACAAAGATTTTCCGACAACAAAAAAAAAACCGTAAAAATTAATGTGTGCGTGTGTGTGTATTAGTATATATATATGAATAATTTTCTATTTTTAAAATCTATTTACAAACATCTATTGCATATTAAATTAATTACAAATGAATTTATTTTTTAAAATTTAAATTGTTCTCTCCAACTTTTTCCTTTAATGTAAACCAACACTAAGATTAAAATACTGGCATAACATATTCCACTCAAAAGAGTAAACGTCCATCCAGTTCCCAATTTATTTTCCATTGGAGATGCTAAAATCGATAAAGTGCCAGCTGCCATCATGCGTATACAATTGCTTAATGCTATTATTGATGCACTTTGACTTGAGAAAACGTCAACCAAATAAGTCGACATTGAATTATAAATTACTTGAGTGCCTAATGATACTATATATAATACATATAATACGTATGTGATTAGTAATTATAATCTCTAACATAAAATAAATAACACAAGTATATAATATACATATAAAACATACTAAAAAACCAAGCAATCAATGGACCAGCCATATGAACTTCTTTTTCAACCAACCAACCATAAATCAAACAACAAGTTGGTAATAATACAGCACTAATCCAAACACTATGAATTCTCGCTTCTGGATGAGCAGTCCCATTTTTCTTGTTTGCTCGTCTCATCACAATATCTGAAGATTTACCACCAATATAACTGCCAATCATGAATCCAAAACCAGATACAAAGAATAATGAACCGATTTGTGATGAAGTTAGATGATATCTGGTGGCGAAGTTGACAGGTACACTAATAAATTGAAGTTGAGTTATTGATGACATAATGCAAATGTAAATGATCATCAAAGTTCCGTTTGGATGACGTAACAATTTAAGCGGTGTAAGTGGATTAAATCGATATTTTGATTGAGCATTCTCATTAGAATCGTCAGGTGTGGGCTTTGGACGATTGGATGTTTCAGGAACAAAGATTATCACAAGTAATAAATTTACTCCGCCCAAAATTGTTAAAAACCAAAAAATCCATCTCCAACTAGCATACTCAGCAAAGTAGCTTCCTATCATAGGACCAAGTAATTGACCAATCCAATAAGCCATATAAAAAAATCCATATGCAGTTCCACGTTCTTTTAATTTTTGAGGTGGGGGTAGGAAAGGAAGAAAATGATTATATATAAATACATATGTATTTTATGATTTATTAAAAAAAATATCAATGAATGTAATAACCATGTTACCGAGAGCATTGTAAACATCACTAATAACACCAGCTCCTATTGATAACATAGCAGAAGAGCCAAATGATTGTAAACCACGGCCTAGCAATAATAACCAGAGATTTGATGGAACAACAGCACACATTATACTTGACAGAATAAATATAAATATAGTTATGAAATAGACTCTTATTCTCGACGAAAATCTATCAGAATATGCAGCCCATCCAAGTGGCTAATCAATGATGATTAGAACGATTAGAGCGATTAGAATGCAAATTAATAATGATTATGATGATGATTATGATTATGATTATGATTATGATTGCTTACCGCAATTCCCATAACATACAGATAAACTGAGGCTAATTTTTATTTATAATAATTATTATTTAGATTAATTGGCATATATATATATATATATATACATATATATATTACAAAATTTCATGTAATTCGGAATTTTCGTTACCTAATGTGTTAACCTCGATATCAGATACATCAAATTCTATACGCAATTTTAATAATATAGGATACAAAATACTTTTTTCGCAAAAAATAAAGTTTGTTTTAATAAAAAACAATCAACAACACGTATAAACAAATGAATAAATGAATAAATAAATAAATAAATTAATACTGACGAACTAGATATTGTAGAAGTCATTGCAACAAAAGAAACCACCAAAAGTATAATACGTTTTTTCCATATTGACCAATTTGTAGTGTCATTGATATTGTGGTTGTTTATTATAATAATTGATACTGATTGATTATTATCTTCTACATTAATAATAATGTTGCCTTCGTTATTCATCTTTGGCAAGTAATTTTTTATTTGAATCTTTGTAGGAAAAAAAATTTTTTACGCATTTTATACATTATTATGTATATAAAAAGGATTTATAAGATTTGATGTATGAGGGTAATGAAGTTTTAAAAAACATTGTATGCTATAATTTTATTTATGCAGTGTCCTTTTATACTAATTAAAGAAAAAACAGTTATCAATAAACCTACATTGTTTATTTGTT